GTCTCTCAGTCGGAACAGCAGACGCAGAGTAGTTTGAGCTCACCCGCCACCGGAGCGCGAGAATGGTCTATCATCGATGCCGAGACCTGGGATAAGATGCGAACGCAAACGAAAACAAGTACAGGCGATTCTACCGCTACTGAGCCCTCCCCGCCAGCACCGGATGCTGCACGTTCATCGCCCGATCCTCACGGCCTCAGTCACGCGCCGGTTCCGGGTTCTGCTCTGACCAAGACCCAGGATCCAGAAGTCGATCCCGACCACGGTCTTGTTACTGCCCGATTTCGTCATGTAGTGACCGATGGTGGTCATATGGTCATCACTGGAAGAGCCAATGACTCGTATCAAGCATGCGAAGACGAACCGATTCACATCCCCGGTGCAGTGCAGAGTTTTGGGTGTTTGATTGTGCTGCGGGAGGAAAGTGACGGGAAGTTCGCGGTCCGCGTAGCCAGCGAGAATTCTGAGGTCATCCTTGGATATTCACCCAAGGGTCTCTTTGCACTACCAAACTTCTGTGACATTTTGGATGAAGATCAGACAGAGAATCTATTGGATCATCTTGATTTCGTCCGCGAGGATGGATACAATCCTTCCGTCGATGGCCCCGAGGTTTTCCTTTTGTCTGTGAAGCTCCCTTCTGGTAAACCTCGGCGATTCTGGTGCGCCGCCCATCTCAGCCCAGCCGACTCAAATTTGGTCATCTGCGAGTTTGAATTGGAGGACGACCGGATCAATCCCTTGAGTGTTTCTGGTCTGACTACCCCGGTGACACCGACCGATACTCTTGGAGTCGAACCGACGCCAGAACAACTCGAGCACAGCACTGTCAATATCAGTCAACCCCTGCGAGTGCTACGAAACGCGCGTCGGAGACGAGGCGAGGCCGCTGCAATGGAAGTGTTTAGCATTTTATCTCAAATCCAAGATCAATTGGGTCGTGCCAAGTCGTTGGAATCCTTGTTAAACACGGCCACTGGTTTGGTGAAAGAATTGACCGGTTTTCATCGTGTTCTGATCTATCAGTTCGATACCGACTGGAACGGAACTGTTGTTGCTGAACTGGTTGATCCCAAAGCGAGCGTCGACTTGTACAAAGGACTCTGCTTTCCAGCCTCTGATATTCCAAAGCAAGCGCGCGACTTGTATCGAATCAACAAAGTCCGCTTGCTGTATGATCGCGATCAGGTCACGTCGCGATTGGTCTGCCGGACTCTGGAGGACTTGCAAACTCCTGTAGACATGACGCATTCCTACCTGCGTGCAATGTCGCCCATTCACCTCAAATATTTGGCAAATATGGGGGTACGTGCTTCGATGTCGATCAGTATCAGTGGCTTCAACGAGCTGTGGGGTCTCATCTCATGTCACACCTACGGGACTCACGGCATGAGAGTCTCCTTTCCGGTTCGAAAAATGTGCCGGTTGATTGGCGACACTGTGTCGCGGAATATCGAACGTCTGTCTTACGCATCACGGCTCCAAGCCCGCAAACTGATCAATACCGTCCCGACCGACCAAAATCCCTCGGGATATATCATCGCTACTTCGGACGATCTGCTCAAACTCTTTGACGCCGACTATGGTGCTCTCTCAATCCGTGATGAGACGAAGCTTCTGGGAAAGATGACGCACTCGCAGGAAATCTTGGCCCTACTGGAATACCTCAGGATGCGACGGATGAATTCTGTGGTTGCTTCACATCACATCACCAAAGACTTTCCAGATCTCTTTTATCCGCCTGGATTCAAGCACGTATCCGGCATGCTCTATGTGCCTTTGTCGCCCGGTGGCACCGATTTCATGGTCTTCTTCCGTCGAGGACATCTTACGGAGATCAAATGGGCCGGAAACCCATATGACAAGAAACCACAAAATGGCCATCTGGAACCGCGCAGAAGTTTTCAAACCTGGCGAGAAACAGTCCTCGATCAATCTCGAGAATGGACCGAGTCCGATGTTGAGACGGCAGCTGTGTTGTGTCTCGTTTATGGCAAGTTCATTAAAGTGTGGCGACAAAAGGAAGCCGCAATGGAGAACTCGCAGTTGACGCGGCTCCTGCTCGCAAACTCAGCCCATGAAGTTCGCACGCCACTGAATGCTGTTATCAACTATCTGGAGATTGCTTTGGAAGGCTCCTTAGACACGGAGACCCGCGACAACCTTACGAAGTCCTACTCTGCATCCAAATCTCTGATCTATGTCATCAACGACCTTCTGGATCTGACAAACACCGAAAAGGGTCAGAAACTCATCAAAGACGAAATATTCGACCTTCTAGTGACTTTCCGAGAAGCAACTGATATGTTTGAAGGAGAGGCCAAGCGTAAGAAGATTGACTATAAAGTGGTAGCGCACCCTGGACTTCCCGCAGCGGTCATTGGCGACCAACGTCGTGTTCGTCAGGTGTTCACCAATCTCATTTCAAATGCGATTCGGCATACAACCGCAGGCAGCGTGATCACGGAGATTTGGCGCTCTTCCGAGCAGGCGCGGCCGGGTTGCGTGCTGGTCCAAATGACCGTTTTGGACACGGGATCAGGAATGTCTCAGAGCACCCTTGAGGCTTTGTTCCAAGAACTTGAGCAAGTTTCGGCAGAAGATGACAGTAGTTGGTTCGATCCGGAAGACCAGGTACATTCGCCCGACTCAGGCGGTCAGGATAAACGTGTACTGGGTTTGGGTCTGGCGTTGGTAGCTCGCATTGTTCGCAACATGCACGGCCAGTTGAGTGTTCGGTCGGACGAGGGTAGGGGCAGCCGTTTCAAGATCTCACTTAACTTCCCAGTTCCGGACGACGCGGCATCTGGTAAACCAGAAGAGCCATCTGCACCCGAAACCGTGGAACCGGCAGTTCCGATTCGGCCGGAAGAAGAGTTCATGCTTGTCGACAGCAAGTCCATTTTAAGCGGCGGGCGCAGGCGTAGTACGGGCAGCGATCACAGCAGGGGCAGTTACAATAGCTCTCGCAGCGGCAGAAGTAACAGGAGCGAAGCCGATCGATTGATTAGTGCCATGCAGGAGTCCCCTCTGCTACAACGAACAACCAGCGAAGGATCTGAGCGGAGAGGTCCCAGGCCGGTGGAACTTACGCAGGGCAGCGCGGACAACAGTCATGCAACGTCTAGCCAATCTCTTCCAAACCTGAAGGACAAATGGAGTCCACAACAGTGGCCGGTGACACAAGCTTGCCCCTTTCCGAGCACGGCACGCACGACGATGCCTCCTGTCTCCCCGCCTCCGCCTGGCCAGGAACCTGTTACCGACTCTGGAGTTCCAATGACAGCGATACGCATTCCGCCAGAAGACGTGGAGCGGCCACCCTCACCGCCGGCCAAAGCTTTGCCCAGCTTGCCAAGCACGGCGGAACTATCCTCAGCACCTGCCCCCAATGCTGAGCCGACTACTCTGCACGTTCTCGTTGCCGAGGACGACCCTATTAACAGCAAGATCGTGCAGAAACGACTAGGTAAACTCGGGCACGCTGTCATCCTCACAGCAAATGGCGAAGAATGTGCGAGCTCCTTTCGCGGTGATTCTGCGAAGATCGACGTTGTCCTGATGGATATTCAGGTAATTAACTTCTTTTCCTCGGTAGGCATTCAAGCCATGCTAACCCAGTCAGATGCCAATTGTCGACGGCATAGAGTCCACCCGAATGATCCGCCAGTTCGAGCGAGAACTAGAAGTCCCGCTGTCTGACAAAGCCAGCAAGAATGGCCGCGTACCCGTCTTCGCCGTCTCAGCATCGCTCCTTGAAAAAGACGCACAACTGTACATTGAAGCCGGCTTTGACGGGTGGATCATGAAACCCATCAACTTCAACCGGTTGGKTGTTCTCTTTGACGGACTTCAGAACCATGACATCCGTAATGCAGCCACCTACCAGCCCGGCCATTGGGAGTTGGGAGGCTGGTTCAAACGCCATGGGGAACTCTGACCTTCTACAATTTTTTCCCTGTCCTTTTATCGTCTCATCGCATCACCATCGGCACCTTACCTCAGCAACTCGTTCCGACGGGTCTCATCTGTGGAATTGTCAGTTGTCGTCATCAAGCATGGGCGGAAGTGTTGTAGGTTTGTTTTCACAAGGGGTCCAGAAGTTCGAGAGAGTTTTCCATCTTTCTCTAGATTTCTTGTTTGTCATTTTGATTGATTTTGCCTCCCATATACCCAGCTACGGAATACGTCCATATCACGTGTCACTGATTGATGAAAAGCATGTCATGTCATGTCGTTGGGCAATGATAGCTCTGCATGCATTTGATGATTTTCTTCTGTGGTTTGTTTGGGGCGTTAATTAGCCCTCTCTCTATTCGGTATCTGTGCTGTGCAGATCTTCGATGCATCCTATGCGCGACTACAAAGCTAGTCAGTCGTTTCCCCCGGGAGATTGTGGCTTAGCAGTGATGCTTTTGTCGATATGTATTAACCGCTGTTCTTATGAATTACAGTGTTCATATCCATACTGTATTGTATCCGTAGAGAGGCACTCCGTAGAGAAATCTCATTCAAGATACATAATGTCATCTATAAGAAAGTTCGCTGCACTGGCGAACTTTCTTATACATGTTATTTTCTAGGACAAAGTACTTCTCATCAGATCAATTAAGAACAAGGCCAACAACACTGGGCAAGTCATTTGAGGGTATGTGTTGCACACCAAGTGACTCGGGATGGGTATCACACCCCTTCCTTGGCTTCAAATGATTGCAGATACCTCAGGCATTTTGCGAATTGCCCTAGCTGAATTGATTAGGGTTCGGTCTGCTTTGGGATTAGCGCGGTACACACTCCCACAAGGATCTATACCTAATTCTATTCTGCCACTCCACAAAATCTATCCTCTTTAGCCAACGAGAAACATTCTTTGCCTTTTACGGAATACTCCTTACCTACGACTTGGTCTTATCAGCCTTCCTTCTCTAGGTAAGGATCTACTTCTCGTTCTTAGCTCTAACTTTGTGCGGAACAGAACTATGTCTACCMACTCGACCCAAATGGATGTCGACAATGCTCCAGCTCAATTATCCCCTGCGAGACAACGTTCGACCACAGTGATATACAATGGTTCTCCGCTACCAGCAGATGCCCCTTCAGATGACAGGGAAGCTCTTTTGCTGGAACTTGGTCAGGCACTTGAGACGCAGGCAGTACCCGCATCGTTTTGGGCCTGCCTCCAAGTAGCGGACCTATCAGCATTACGGACTTTCGTCCAAGAAGCTCGAGCGGCACCACGCATATGCGAACTGTTATCCGACACATTCTATGCGCTTCCCCGCATGTGGCGTCAGAACCCACCGGAAGATCCTAGCTCATCATGTTCATCTTCATCACGAGGATCGGACCTCTCTGATGATGTTCCCCGTTCCAGATCACCTAGAAAAATCGCTAAAGAACGCGATGGAGGCAAGTGCGTAGTCACTGGACGTCAGAGAGTCCAAGCTTGTCCTATATTCCCCCATTGCTTGTTAAAGAAAAAGAAGCCTACAGATCTCACAAGGTCTATACCTGACCTTTGGAAGTTGTTGTCACTGTTCTTTGACAATGAGGATGTCCTCCAATGGAAGAACGCGATCTTCCCAAACCCCGACCAACCAACCGACGGCATCCCAGAAAATCTCACATGTCTCTCCCCCAATGTACATGGGGACTGGGCGGACGGATATTGTGCGTTCAAACCACTTCGTGTGTCTTCCGACGGTCGGGAAATGGAGTACAAATTCCACTGGTTGCCTCGCGAGCCCCATGGGCCGACGGACAAGGTGGATCTTTCAAGACGTCCGTTATCGACCGCGGGTCTCGATCAGTCTGAGGGCAGATTTTCCTACACTTTTGAAGGCCATCGGATTCAATCTGGAGACACGTTCTTCCTGAAGACGAGCGACCCAGTCACTCACCCCCTGCCCAGTTTCACGCTGTTACAAATGTCGTGGAAGTTGACTCAGATCGTGGCCTTGTCTGCGGCCGCAGAGGACCCAGACCCAGAAGACGATGTCGACAAGTTAGAGACCTATAACAAAGAAGTCATAGACAGATGGATGGCAGAGCCATCTGACGATGACGATAACGACTTTTTCACTGCAGGAGTTTGATATTACAAGGCTTTCTCTCAGTTCGACCTCCACTACGCACTCTCTGCTGAAAACAAGGACGAACACAGAGGTTGCTCAAGCGTCAGGCTAAGAGCCTGTCGTTTTCCATGATGTTTGAGCGGCTGAGGCAGGCACTGCAGAAGTGTCGAAGGCGCTGCAATTTGCCCTGATTATATTTGAAGGCGCTGCAATATGCCCTGATTACCTTTGATGGCGCTGAGCAATGTGTCATCTACACTAATTTATGGACAAAAGTCCTGCGCAAGTAGGTGCCTGGTCGTCATCTCTGATGGCCTCCAGGCCTCCAGCGATAAGCTCACACCTCACCGTGGTGCTGGAGTCTAGTAACCAGTACATTACTATAGACTGGCGAAGCCAAGATGAGCTTACTCTTGTATGTCAAAATAATCTCATACCACTGTAGTACTAGGAAGCATTTGTTTGCAGAGTTTAGACGTTTCATGTTGCGCTCGTTTCTTTATATGCTCCGGACCAACGAGATTTCCACCGGGTCCGTTATCAGAGATACTTCAGCTAGTGGAGTGCTCAAAAATCTGAATAGGAACAAAAAGCCATTGGTCTTCATTTGAGATGTCTCTTCAACTTCACGATACAGCGTACCTGTAGTCGCTCGATGCCGAGTATGTGAACCTAACCTTCTGGCTCAAAGTCTTAACCTCAAACCTCAAGACACATTGGCAAACTATGCACCGCGCATAAATACTCTGGCTCAGGAGACAGATCGTAATATCAAATCCAGCTCAAAATGGCAGGCAGTGTTGACAGTTGGGAGGAATGGACAGCAGTTCGACGGGGTGGTCCGTGCTGAAGCTGCTGATCAACTTCCTCTCCGTCGTCATTGCAGCCTGTCAAGCCTCCACTCTAAACACACGCAGACCTTCTTCCTCATCCATCACCCTCTACCTTTGAATTTCCTTGGAATTCGAGGTCTCCTCCCTCTTTCTGCCGCAGAATGACTTTGCGGTAGTATCCTGCGACTTCTATCGATACTGCTCCCTTCTTTCGAGACAGGAACCGCCAGTCATGGTGTCCCTGTGGCCCTGGAAGGTACGTTATCCGTGTCTCCTCCTTGATGCGCAGTGACGGAGCACTGACGACTATTGCACGATTGCAGGGCGAAGACAATTCTCCAGCATCCTTCGAAAAAGCCCTCTCAACCCTTTCCACAAAGATAACACAGACAACGAACCGACTTGACCTTCACCGCCAGCATGCCCGTCGATTCAAGGCTCTCTGGACTCTTTACACCACTTTCGCATACCTCCTTTACTCGATTATCCTAGCTCTCGTCCTCGGCTGGCAGAATTGGGGTGTAACGGAATACGCTGCCATCGTTGGGGGCCCAGTTCTGTACGAAAATCTCCCACGAGAACCTCGAGTCCTTGTATGACGTCTGACTTGAGCAGGATCTACGCTGTCCGAGCCGTAGCTAGCAAGTTCTTCGACTACCGCATCAGCAAGACCCAGCGACACCTCGATGATCTACAGAAACAGCGGGAGGAGACAATCGAGAAGCTCAAGGTCGCAACAAAATACAACTCGACTCAACAGCTGCTGGAAAAGTATGGCGGAGAGTCGCCCAAGCCGTCGCGTCCCAAGGGCGGCGACGAGAAACGTAAGACAGACGCCAAACGCAAGCAGCCTTCTACCCCGCAACAACCCGTTATGAGAACCGGGCTTCCTCCCCCACCGACCGCGAACATTCGAAGACCAACTCCGGCTCAATCGCCAGTGTCTTCTCCCGGCCAGCCTCAGTCTCCGCCACCATACCCGATTCAAGGACAGCCACAACCGGAGAACATCCATCCACCGCCCCCTCCTGCATTCGACGAGCCCGGCTTTGCACCCAACGCGTTTCCAAGCGCCCCGCAGTATGTCGAGCACTCACACTGGTACGACCGGTTGCTAGATGTCCTACTCGGCGAGGACGAGACACAACCAAAGAACCGGATTGCGTTGATCTGCGCCACCTGCCGACTCGTCAACGGGCAAGCCCCGCCGGGCGTCAAGACGCTGGAAGAGCTCGGCCGCTGGCGGTGCGGAAGCTGTGGGGCATGGAACGGGGAAGAGAGCGAGGCGAAGAAGATGCTCGCCGGGATCCGGAATCAGGCCCAATCGGCGGACGGAGCGTGGGAATCGGTCACGAAGCCGGACTCGGATTCGCACTCGGCAGGTGACGCGACGGACGAGGCGGTTCTGGTCGCATCGAGCGAGGATGAGCAAGTTGAAGCACGGAGTTCAGGGGTGGAGTCTCAGGATGAAGCTGATCAGCAGCCACAGGAGCAGGAGACTCCGGGGGCCAGTAGCGGCGGCAAGTCAGGCCGCGGACGGGCAAAGAGGAACAAGAGGAAAGGATGAGCGGGTGACTTGCATTCTTCAGTTATATCTATACCTACGGTCACTATAGCATAGGGTATTCTTTGGGCGTCGCATCATCAAATGGCATTCACTCATTCTGGTTTATACATTTCACAATCTCCGCAGAAATTCCGTCTACTGGGACTTCAGCTCGTGTTCAACGGTGTAGAACCCTCCTGCGCCCTCTGTGTCAGTAATGTAATCGCCTCAACCGCAGCGGTCACCTCCGCCTCTTCAGCCGTCAAGCACCCCGTCACAACAAACACCTCCACCTGCTCAATCCGAACGGAGCACTTGTAGCTCGCACCTCCCTCCTCGTCGAGAACCCGCTGCGCCACAAACTGAATATTACTCTTAGCCAACTGCTGCGCCACGCTCCTCGGATGCGTAACGTCAATCCCATGGTCCAGTATCCGACGCAGATAGGCCATCAGCCCGATCCGCTCGACGAAGACCTCACAGGGCGCAAGGTCGCCCCCAGAATCGACGAAAATGGCGCCGAGGACGCTCTCGACGATATCCGAGAAGAACTTGTCCGCGTTGAGCCGGGAGAGGGCCTGCCAGGGGTACTGCGGGGCATGCAGCAGGGACGAGGCGATCTCGTCTCGGAGGGCGCGGTGGCGGGCGAGTGAGGCGTCGCGGGCGGTGTTGAGGTCTTGACCGCGGTAGCGCATGAAGCGCCAGAGCTCGACGGATTCCTGGGAGGACGTCACGGCGAATGATGTCTTGGATGTCTGCGCGACGTCGAGTTTCTCTTCGGGGATGGCGAATTCCATGCAGAGGAAGGCGAGGAGGTTCGCGTTTACGACGGCGTGCTTGATCTTCGTCATGTCGCCTTGCGGGCGTTGGATGGGGTGGTTGAAGATCGCGGATACGATGACCATGTCGAGGACGGCGTCGCCGAGGAATTCAAGGCGCTGGTAGGACTGAGTTGTTGAGTCGTAGTCGCAGGACGGGTGGGTGAGGGCCTCGACGAGGAGGGACTCGTCTTCGAATGCGTAGCCGATGTGCTGTTTCAGTCGATCGTTCATCGTATGCCGTGCGCTCTCGGGAGCCACACTCCGGGTTGCGGTTCGAGTGTCTACAGCGTGGAGGTTGATCTCGGGCAGGAGACGGCGGATGCATGCCTGTGCGGTTGCGTGGCTGCCGTCCATGTATGCTGCTCCGATCAGCGCCTCTACCACATCCGCCAGCACTTTCGTCGACATCTGGCGCTTGGCTGGCACACGCTCCAGCTTTTCCGAGATCAGCGGAGCGGACCATTTCCGCGGCGTGAACCTCTTGGTGATGATGTAGGCGTCGAGTCCGGTGTCAAGCGCGGCTTTGGCAAGGCGAGGATTCTGCACGATCATGTCCCGGCCCTCGGACAGATACCCTTCGTGCCAGTTCGGGTGCTGAAAGAACAACTGGCAAGAAACAGAGAATTTGAGGATCGAATCACCTAGGAACTCGTATCGCTGGTAATTGGTCAATGCTTGAGCGACAGGCGCAGTGATTGCGGTAATGATGTGATCAGTGCTCGTAAAGCCGACATCTCTCAGTATCGTTTCTCTGAGTCTGGTAGCGATCAGTTCGATCTCCAATCGCTCCACAATAACGGAGATGAATAGGCCGAATATAGCCATGGTGAACGGAAGCCTGTCGATGGTGCACGCATCTGCAGGGATAATGCGGCCCGTGGCTGCAGACTCGGGGATTTCTTCATCGACATCCACCTGCCTATTAGCCAGTGTCTGCCGATGCAGGAGATTGCGTCTCCGCGGAAAGGGATCGCATTCCAACTCGACGACCGAAGATGATGGGTTCTGGTCGGAGACAAGCCATCTCCTGAACAAAACTGGTTCTCCGTAACGCGAATGATCCCGAACCACGCCCATGAGCACTGGGTTGTGGCCACGCGAGTAGACTTCCAAGGCCGGGTCACATCCCTCATATACATTCAGCCAGGCCTTCAGCTCCGTATGATGCAGATCGGGCGCGAACAGTGCCGTAAAATCTCGCTCGGAGCTGCAGGCCCGAGAGCTGGTCGCCTTGAGATAGAGTGCCGTGGTCGCTCTCATGTCTTCGATACTGCTCAAGGGTACGAGCGGAACCCGTTCTGCTGCGTCAAAGGTCACGGTAAACGTGGTCGAATTGTCCCAATACAGAGTCATCGGTGAGAGGGACGGTAAGTGCGTAGGTCCCATCAACCGCATATACAGCTGTTCGCCTCTCCCTTCATTCGGTCTCACCACGATCCGACTTTGATGGATATCGGGCGACGACCATGAGTAGGCCCATTCAATCCATGGATCATATTGTTCTGACGTCTCCAGTATGGAGGGCACAGCTCCCAAGTCAAGCGACTTTAGCTCTGGCTTTTTCGCCAACGGCAGAAGGTGATCGTTGACGAGGCCAAACTCGTACAGAGCTTTATAAGCTTGGAAGGCAGTCTCTTTCATCGCTGCTCTTTCTGTGCACCACCATCTCCTACCCTCAGTTCGGCGGACCTTCGGATGCACGCAACTGGGCAGGATTACCGTTCCCTTTAGAAGCCCATTCTCATTCGTTTCGAACGAGAACACGGGCCGCATGTCCACGTATGGCTGTGAAGGCAATACAGCGCAGAAGTGGTGCAGGTGTGCCATGGCCATGTCAGCGGTAAGAACAGCGCTGTAATAAGATATCATTATTAGGAAGCTTCAAGGAACTTGGGAGTGAAAGGAAGCATACCTCGTAGACTCGACAGTAAGTCGGTCTGTGACCTTCTCATCCAGACTCTCCAATGCAGAGGCGCTTTGCAGCTGTCGCTCATCATCCTGATAGGCCTCTATCATGGCCTGTTCGAGATCTTGCCACTTGGAAACATCAGCAGAAGCATCATCTGTCGGGAACATGATTGCAAAGGTCGACTGCTTCCGCCTTGCCCGCCCACGGCGCTGGACGAAGGACTTCAGGTTGGGCGGCTTGTCATAGCACACGACGACGCTGCAGGCACTGATGTCAATGCCTTCTTCGAGGACGTCCGTGGCTATGATGAGGTTCTTGCGGCCGCTGCGGAAATCATCAAGTGTATCGCGCTGCAGCTGCATGTTCAAGAGATCGCCGAGAATGTCCTTGCTGGCGCTGCCGTTGGACCAGCCGACGTAGGCAGCACATCTGAACCGTTCGCGCGTCGAAGGGTGCACTGAAAGAAGACCAGTCATGGCGCTGACTGTTGCCCTCTGCTTGACAAAGATCAGTCCGGAGAACTCCGGCTCATCCAGTGAGTCCAGGATGTTGAGAAGAGACTCAAGCTTCGGAGAGATGCGAAAGCTATCCGGATCGTTCAATGCAAGTTGGATTTCTGAAGCAGGGATTTTCGAGAGAAAGTCTACTAGGTACGCTTTCTCGGCCTCGTCCCAGTCGCCGCTCAAATACGAGTCGCAGACGCGATCTCTGAGCTGTTTGATGGACGCGCAGACGTAGTACTCGGCAGCCCATTCTCCGAGTTCCTCGAAGATATGGCGACAGCGATCGACGAACCTTTTCAACTGCTCCCGACAATACGTTTTGCCCGTCATGAGCGCTTTTTGCAGAGCTTTGTCGTCAAGGGGACTTTTTCTGAGCCGCTTTATATAGGGGTCGTCCTCGATGTCCAAGGTTTCCCAGGCATGGTAGAGGGCCCTTAAGGTCTGACTTGCGCCCTTGAACCCCGTAGGATCAGTCGGCGTGTACCAAATCTGCTGCAAGTGCGGTCTATGGGTGAACTTCAAAAGCTCTTGTCGGTGCACGCGGGGTGTTCTGCATACCGCATCGAGGTTGGATTCGACTGTTCTGGTTGGAAGTCAGTGAGGTCAATCAGAAACATCGCAAAAGCTTGGCCGCACTGACAAGAGCTCCTGGCGATTTGATCTGACCACCGGACTGGCTGTTAGGCCCATAATGCGGGGGACAGCAACCGGGCCGAATTTCGTTAAAGTCGGATGATAGAAGTCCTGCATGATTTTGTTTGCGGCATGCCTTCGCATGCAGTGGTGCGCTACAGTTTGCCTATCAATGCCATTGTTTCACTGAATGAAGCCCAGATTGTGAACAGACCTTCATCGAAGATGATCAGAGCCAGCTGAGATATTTTCACGAAGCCGTGGCTAAGGGCATCTGCAAGGACTGCGTGCGTCGATACAATGACTCGGTAACCATTCAGAACGGCATCCCAGATCGACTGCTCGGTCCATAATTCGACTTTGTCGAGTCCAGTAAGTGTCCGTGTTCTCACGGCTGGTAAATTGGACGCGATCACTTCATGCTGTTGTATACACAGGGCGACCGTCGGGGCCAGGAACCAGACGAGCTGAAGAAGGGATGATGAACACAATTTCTAGCGGAAAATGCCATCGCTGGGAATCAATGAGAATATACCTTGTCCGGAGGGCAAATGTCCAGCTCTGCCTTGATTCGTAGTACCGCTCTACAGTTGACTGTCAAAATAAGGCCTGGTACCGCACGGGAGGGGGAGCAATGACAGCCCAGCAAGGACCGCACAAGCAGACATACATATGCGTTTTACCACTCCCTGTATCCATCTAAAGGATTGTTATCATTGCCATTCTGAAGCTTTAAGTATACGATGAGGGAACATACTGCCACAATGATATTCTCCTTCATGCTAGCCTCCAGCATCTCAAGCTGATAATTCCGTGGCCGGTATGCAGAAGCATCTTGGCTTGCAGTAGCGGTGGAAGCCATTGTGAAATTGTGACAATCTAAAAGTCCTTATTTCCTTGCCATTTGCAAAGGAAATCACAAACGAATCCGAGCTGATCCCGAAGGCATGGCGGCTCGACGAAATGCTGTTTGATCTAAACGCCGAGTTGAGGGGGAAACTGAGAGAGTGTGGTGGGGTTGATGAGCGGACACCAGACAAAGCAGCTCTGCAGCCTTGTTGCCAATGTTATCACATATCAGTATCATAGACGCAGCGAGTGAGACTTTGTTCACTATCAGACAAGAGCAAGGTCTCATGATTAAGTCCAGAGGGGCCAGTAAAAGACATTCCCGTCATGATTACAATCAATTTAAGGGGGCAGGTGTACATATCTAGATAGCATCCGCAGTCACCAAGACAATAACGCGACATGATAGATGTACCAATGCGGGAAGCCTCCGGGTCCTTCGCAAGAAGAACTGGACAACAAATGAAGCCAATTATCTCAGATCACCGTAATTTCTTGCGCGAAATCCGCCTCTTGACTTCCGAATTGTGTACMTTGTCCGCCCATGCCGGCAAAGGAGAGGTGAGATCCAGTGATAGGAAAAGGACGCAACGTGCAGAAAAAAGCACCGAGACACATGCATTATAGAACCAGTTGGAAAACAAAATCATACAGACAATGTCAACGACCCAACCCCTCCGGTCCCAGTCTAAAGCAAGAACACAGAACTCCGCCTCAAACAGGGTCAGAAATACTATAGATCCACTAGAATCGCGCCATACACCGGAGACAACCAAGGCAAAACGTCGCAGAACTGGCTTTCAGGCAGAGAAACGCGGAGGCCTTTGGCCAGCCATAGAAGAGGACCAATGAAATTGCCGGAGAACAAGAATAATGCTTCATAAGAGAAGATTGAGAACGACCTATGATATGAGCGGGAGCCCATGTGTTTGTTCCTGCTTGGGCAGTTCGGAAGCTTCGGTTTGTCCTTCATCAGGACGGACGCGCCTTGCCTGTGCCTGAAAGTTGTTGCCGAGGTAATTTGCCTCTTCGGTAGGAGGTTTGCGCATTCCAAGCCCGGCAACAGCTATGCGGTTCAAGGAGTTCATATCATCGTTTGATGTGGGGGCTTGAGCGTGAGCAGGCTGGGGTTGCTGGGGTGCAGTCGGAGGAGGGGCACCACTGGAGGTGGTCGTCCCCGAGTTTGGAATAGGAGGCACAGGAATTTCACTCCGCGGTTGACTCAGGTCGATGTTACCAGGCAGCTCCGGAACCTCGCCTTGAGAATCCAATAAGCGAGACTGCAGGTTGATAATGTACTCCCGGAGTTGGTAGTTTTCCGCCTGCAGAGCTTTGATCGCTTCTCCCATGTTCTCGTACGCCTTCACCTTTCCCTCCAACTCCCGGATATGGGCTTCCTTTCGCTGCCGGAATGCCCGCTACGCACAAGTTAGTCAAGATCGTGTTGAGAGTTCTTAGGAGCGCACGTACCTGCGCGGCACGGTTCTGTGCGGCGCGTTTTGAGGTGGATAACGGCCGTTTGCCGTAGGTTTTTGGAGACTCTTGGCTTATATCAGGCTGGCTGGGAGTTTGCGGTGGGCCAGTCAGCATGGTAGCGCCTGAAATGGCAGGATCGATGTTATTCTGATCGCGAGCCGGTGTGTTGGGCTGCATGTGCGGAGGTTGCGGTGCAGCGGGTTGGGGTCGAGCTTGCTGAGAATGCGACAGATGCTGATGAGCAGCTAGAAGCTGATCATGGAGCACTAGAAATATGATGTTAGCTGCCGTAATGCGACGAGCGTTAAAAGGTCTCGGCAGGTCGACTGTACAGCAAGCGCCGGAACACTCGCGGGTGATGAGATGTGCTGTATTCTCAACTGGTACAGCATGAAGAGTCACTTACCCTGATCCGCATGGTCCTACAACGTCAACAGCATTAGTATCAGGTTCCAGCGATGCACAGAAGTGGTTGAAAGCGAGCTGTCGATGCGACCGGCAGAAGACTCGAAAATCCACGACGGATTGATCGCCATCGCGTCATAGAGACCGCGACCGAGGAAATCACGGCGACAACGATGAAGGATATCAAGTCCCACCGGATGACACAGCAGCTGAGAGGATTTGGGATCTGGGGAAATTGGGGAAGACGATCTGATGACAAACCGCGACAAGAAGCTGCTTACCTGAGCAGTCATGCTTGGATGCGGCGCTGGAGCTAATGTAGGCTGCATTGAGGGTATGGAAATGAACAAGACAACAAAGACGCGCCCAACGGCAACACACAGGACGCAATCAATTCGAGCTAGGTGAAGAGAAGAACAAAAGAAGCAGATCTGCCTATACGGCACAGTCACTCGTCACGCAAGATGGGAGTAGATGAGGGAGAATGGGCGAGGAAAGTTGATGAGGTAAGCAGATAGGCGTCGGGGATGATCTCGTAAAGGAAGAGATTACTTAAAAGCCAAAAAGTGAAGGGGGGAGGAGGACGGCATTGGGTGTGGCTGGGCGGTTGGTCACTTGCGGTGGGACGGTGACGCGTATTAGTAAGCTATGCTTTTGTATGAATAATCATGTTACAACTGCATCTACCAAGGTACATCCGCATTACTGGATTGAGGCAGATAGCAGAGTCTTTGGAAACCTATCTTTTGATTCTACTATATACGGACTATTTATCGTAAATCTCTTTCCTTAACAGCTTGACTCATCATCCCGGCCTTCCCCAACCTCGCCAAGTAAGGTAACATGCATGGTAGGTGGGTAGATTGTGGTAAGATTACAGTAGAAATACCGTATTCCATGGATCCGCTGACTCATGACCGTAATTCCGCACCTCTCTTGTTGGGGACAACTGGTACACTCCCTCCGCAGCTGAATTTGGAGTAGAGTGGAAACAGATATTATGTATGCTTTTATTCGCATAACAATAAAGTCTCCGAGATACGACGGAGTAGGGAAAGTCCGTATCCTTTCATACTTTGAATCTCGCGCCATTTCTCCTCGAGCCTGGGGCTCGGAGTTAACCGATTTCGGACTCTCGGCTTGGGCGGAACTCATGTTGCGATCGACATGACCAAGCATCTCATTAGCATTTGCAAGTTCCGCAAAATCATGAAGCCGATCAGCTTCATGGCTTTCATAGAAAGTAGTTTGACTGTAAATACTGCCGAACTTGGATCCCTGTGGCTATAGGGCAGACTTTGAAGGAAGTCATCGATCAGCTGCTACCAAGTTACGTTGTAGGCAAAGCAGGCTGCTGACGTGGTTTGAAACGCTCCTGTACTAACAAGAAATAGTAGGATTCTGACACTGCAGCTGGTGGATAAGTGGACATCTATGATTCTAGGATTGGAATTGGGCTGCACTCTTCGCGCTGGATCATTGACTGGATTGTGAAAGGACGCTCCAGTGTCTAGAAACCCCAAAGCTGATATATATACATAAATATATATATATATGCGATACAAGAACTAAAGCCACTGCGAGGTGACATAAGGGGAGCCGGCAGACGAAGATCATCTCATGATACTGATTATCAACACCCCTTATCATAGAGGTTGCCCATTGCCAGATTCGGTCCGGTCTTATTGCTGAATCCCAGCCGGATGAGCGTCTCCTCACCCGCATCATATTGAGGCCATCCATCATATCGCTCTAGTCCGGACACAGGATCTCGAGCGAACGCAGCCCATGCACCACGCATGTACCGTCCGATGGCGACTTCCTCAGCCGTATTGGCGATGAGGTCTTGTGCAACCGTGTCGAAGAGCACCGGCACCTCGGAAGAGTGATATGCTCCGCTAGGCGCCTTCGTGGAGAGCACCATATTCGGGAATACGCCGAAATAGCGGTATCTCCAAGTCGGATTGCCCTGCTGAATGGAGACATTGGCTCGTGCAGCTGCCGGACAGCTGAAGAGAGCCTGATTCTGCTGGATCCAGGTGTCGTCAGGCAACGGGTCGTCCACATAGACGCGGAACAGGCCATTTTCAAAGTCGGTGGTCCCAATGAGCATGGGAAGGGCAGCCGCTGGGCGATCCGTGTAGTTGCTGAAGACGAGGACGTCGTCGGCGGCCGGGCTGTAGGGCAAGTTGACGGTCGTGGCCATGGTATTGACGAGGTGACGAGCTATGTCGGCAGCAGGCTTGGTCATCATGCAATCGTAGATTTGTTGATCATGTGTGCTTCGGTTACCGCAGCCGAGTGCCTCTGAAGCGTTGAGCCAGAACATACGGGCCTGCTCAGCGGTGCGGCCTCCGATGCGAGCTATATTACCGGACTGCACAATCAGGGCATGGACGATAGGGTCGTCCTTCCAAGCGTATGAATAGTGGTCAACAGAGGTACCGCCGGCGGACTCTCCGAAAAGAGTGATTCGAGACGGGTCACCGCCAAAGGCAGCGATATTGTCCCTCACCCACTCGACTGCTAAGCGTTGATCCAAGAGACCTAGGTTGAAGCTGCTTGGTGAATTTCCGGGGAATCCGAAGAAGCTGATGCGATAGCTATAACGAATAATTAGCATATGGCTGCAAAAGAAGCGTGGAAGAGATGTCTGACTTGATAGAGACAAGGACAATGTCCTCCTGGTCGGCAAAGAACTGACCATTGTACATCGGGATTGCCGAGCTTCCTGAACCTGGTGAGCAATCGACGCTATGATTGTCTTAGGGCGATACACGCACCGGAGACGAAGGTCCCTCCATGTATCCAGACCATCACTGCCTTCTTCTTCTCGCCAGTCTGCGGCTTCGTCCAGACATTCAGGGTAAGACAATCTTCACTGAAAGTCAGGTTGGGATCCATTATCTCTGCCAAGTACTTTTGGCCGACCCTGGTGACGCCGTATTGCTCAATGAGCTTGTCTGGCAGTCGGTCATCGTACATCGTCTGATTCGAAGAAATGCATGCGGGACCCTGTCATAGTCAGCTCCTGTGGTTTCTGGCGCTTTCAGAGGAGAAAAGGGCGCTCCCTACGAAGGTCTTGCCACTAATCGTGGTGTTCCCCCGATACCTGACAGGAGGCTGGAATCGCAGGTTGCCTACTGGCGGCAAAGCGTACGGAATAGCGAGATACTCCGACACATTGCTAGCATGAGGAGCGGCATGTCCTTGGACCGGTCCGCTGGAGGTCTTAACCGTTTGTCCTATGGTCCACCGTGCTTGTGGGCTGACGGCATCGCAAGGCACAGAAAAAATTAGTCCGGCTAAGACGCCGAAGACGACTGGAAGAGAAGACTTGTACATGATGAGGCATGCTCAGAACTTTTAAGAAGACGTGCTGTGGAACATCTCACAAGTCTACCTTCGGCCGCTCAAATGCGTTTTATATACCTGTTCAGACAGGCAGTACTACAAGACTCGATTAGCATGATATCAAAGTCGTGGGCAATATAATCCGATCCAGCCAGAAGATCGTCTTCACGATCGTATTCGCAACCGTGCCGCGATGAACGAACACGAGAGTCAGGCACCGCCATTTGCCGATTGGCTGCTGATAAAGTCTGCCCTAGTTTTCGGAAGATTAAGACGGAACCGGTAGCGGTCAGGATTGTCCTCATGAAGAGTGACATAATTCATCGTTGTGTTGCTTTCCCGTGTGCTTCCACCGATCCTCGAACATGGGGGCGAGGAGAGCAACAGTTCTCCCCCGAAAGGACCGAACAGGAATCCAGTGCAGGCAACAACGAAACGGAATTATGTTATGAAGAGGCCTACTAAGACACTGCAAGATTGCATCATCCCTTCCGGCAAATCTAGAACAATATCCAGCCAAACGATCATTTCCGACCCACACAAAGCGATGAACGAACACGAACAGCAGAGCTCAGCCTCCTGCCGATTAGAATAGCTGCTGGGAGCTTCTATGAACTAATGAGGTAGCTCAGTTTGCAAGCAGTGCAATGCATAGAAGACAGACACACAATAGTAGTAACTGTGGCACAGTCGTGAACTGGAGAAGGTCGGTGTGGAGTCATCCTTCCTTAAATATTCTTCCAAGTTTTAGATAGTCGATAGACACAAGAGCAATGCTTAGCTGGCGTGCTTAAAACTCGTATCAATTGTTATGAAAGTGCACTGAAGCCGCGCGGCCCCCGCCAGTGTTAGCATGCTTGGCCTGCATAGACATGATGAATTTTGTTGTCGCGATCATGAGAACTTGCGGGCCGTCAGAGTTATCCAACACGCGGCCCTCGATGGTGGAGACAGCTCTCTTCTGAGCCCTTGCGCAGTCAGCAATCATGAGAACGCAACAGACTCAGAGATATCAAAAATATAGGTATCATGTTCAGCAAGATCACGAAGGTGATTGGTCGTCTGTCGTTTTCAGCATCGGCGTCCGAAATGAGTCTAGTGCTGGCATATCAGACTGACTCTTATAGTCTTGTTATCTTTTTGTCCTCTCTGGTAGATTCTTATCATTGTGTCTCTCCGTAGGCTAAAGAGACTAAAAATCGCAGGATGGGAAACGAGATATGCATTCTGCATTTCAACGATGTCGTACGTCTCCATGCACTCCTCCATTCGTGGAATTTGACTAAAAACTAGTAGTACCACGTCAACGACGTCGATCTCATATCTCGCTTCGCAGGCTTGATCAGATCGTTCGAACCCAGGCCACTGCTAATCTTCAGCGGCGATGTCTTCTCGCCTTCCTTGGAGGCCTCCCTCCTGAAAGGAGAACACATGATCCCATTCTTGAACTACCTCAATGTTGATGTAGCCTGTTACGGGAACCATGGTCTGGGATGTCCATGCCGTGAGCGTCCACAAGCAGGCTGACATGTCCCAGACTTCGATTTTGGGGAAACGAGACTCGTAGAACTGTCACGCAAAGTGTACTTTCCCTGGGTCCTGTCCAACGCAACTAGAGTGACTGAGGACGGCGAAGTTTCGAGCGAGCCTCTTGCCTGTGGTGAGCGGTATGTCATCAGGACAGTGCAAGGGTACAAGCTCGGATTTATTGGCTTGGCTGGGACGTATGCATGGAGCTCTGCACAGTGTTTCTCTACTTGGATTACTGATTGAGCTACCTGCCCAGAGATTGGCCGTCAAACTGCCAGAACTTACCCTCGTCGCACATATTGGACCCCGCCATGGTGGCTCAAGAGCTTGCCAGACACCTGCGTCTCAACGAGGGTTGTGATTTTGTGATCGCTATCTCTCACTCGCGACTCGCCGAGGATATCGGGACAGCAAATGCTGCTGCACATGGAGTCGCCAAAGTTGATCTGATCCTCGGGGGTCACGATCACGAGGTCCTCCATCGCTTCCATGGGGACACAGAAGAGGACTCGGAGATAATCCAGCAGGGCACGAGAAACGAGGAGATATTGTCCAATGGCGTAGTTGACCAGGTAGCCGGAGACATTCGCATCGTCAAAAGCGGGACAAACTGGCGAGGCTTATCCGTTGTCCGTTTAATCGCAAAGAGACTTTCAGACGGAAGAGCCACAATAGAAACCGTCAAACGTAAGTACCACAGCCGGCAACTCCGTCAATCTAACAAGCTCCAGTCAAGCAATACGTCGACATCACGCAGAGCTCAGAATGCAGCTCACTCTCAGTCTGCCCTCGTATATGCAAAATGGCCGCGGAGATCCAGCAGCGTGCTGGCAGCGTAGTCCAGAAGCCACTCGTGCACACGACAACACCGCTCGACGGCCGCTGCAGTGTGATTCGCAGCTCAGAGACGAACCTAGGCAATATGCTCGCAGACGCCTATCGTGCCTACTACGGCGCCGACATTGCACTCGTTAACAGCGGTTCAATCAGATGTGACCGGGTCATCGAGCCAGTATCATCACCGCTCCGTGTCAAGGACATCATCGGTTAGTCCCGATATTGTCATCATCTGATAAGTCTCTCATGAAGTGATCTAACTCTCTAGAAATCTGCCCCTTCGAGAACCCACTGGTCGTCAAACGAGTCAGTGGACACGCCCTCCACGGAGCACTCGAAAACTCCGTCTCTGACCTCCACGTTGACGGACGATTCATGCAATGTTCAGGCCTGCACATCGTCGCAGACTGGCAGCAACAAGAAGGCCGCAGGATCCTGCAACTGTCTCTCATGCAATCACCCTCCATGCCAGCGAAGCAGATTGTCCCATCGCAGATATACACCGTCGTGACGTCGTCGTTTATTGCGGCAGGGTTTGACGGATATACCTGTTTTCAGAGCGCAGAGACACTTGTCGACAAGGAGACGGCTCTGACGGATACCGGGTTACTCTTGCAAATCTTTGGGTATGATAAGGAGGGTTTGAATGATGGCGATACCACCGGCATAGATAGAGCTCGGAGGGCTATCGTCTGTGGGATGCATGGGCTGGACAATTTGCCAATTGTGAGTCCAGTCGTTGAGGGGAGGATTAGATTCGTCACTTAGCTCAGAGACAGCAGTTGACTCTTGTTCATGATTCACGTACAGAAACAGAAAGGTAGACCCAAGATGAACAGCTATTGCTGTTTCTGTGTTGCTCAGACCAATGTCTTCTGATGTCTCTCTCTATCAGCATATTTCCTTTTCGGGCTAGGTATATAGCCTCAGGTATACGTAGAGAGCTATAGAAACCAACAATATATGCCGTTACTTCCGTCTCAATCATCTGAGACAGCTTCAAGAGACAGAGTTGCATACATTATAGAATTTCCATCCGCACAGATTGCCACTTGATAGATCTCCTGTAGGAGGTCAAGATTATGTATGCCTCAGTTATGTCCTACACCTGGTCATAAGGTCAGGCAAGAGTAGAAAAGAAAAGATGTTCCCTGGATCGAACTTGAGTCCAGAGGACAAAAAAAAGTTTGTTAGGAACAGTTTTTGTTTAAGCAGTCATTGTTCCCCTAGCCCAAAGAGCTCAAAAGCTGGTAGAATCGAGCACAAGCAAATTATAGCCTCAACTGCCGAGGGCTACACGTATCTTGTAGGACGGCATACAGCTGACTTTGTAGAAACCTCTAGACAGCCACTGTGTAATGTGTTGGTTTGCTCCCGAACTCATACCAAAGTATCAAAAACAACCAACTGCTCCTCATCTCCAGATACTAAGGTCGTTCTACTTAGGACCACTCCTTCTACATCTGTCCAGTTGCAGTCCTGTGGATCTATACCAAGGTATCTCCCTTAAGTATAGCTCTAGTATAGTACAGTCTAAGATCTTAGTATACTCCTCTTAGCCTAGGTTTATCTATTAATACTGTCTTAAACCCTCTCCTGCATCTCTTCTCTTCATCTCCTCTTATACTATCTGCCCGGCATGGCTCACCAGTGGCCACTGCTACCTCTGTTTCATCATGCATAGCTGATATCACGTCATCAATGGTCTTCTGTTTCTCTACGTCCATTAAGACCTTAACCCTCTACTGCAGATCCCCACCAACGTCCATTCTGCCGCGCCAATTGTGCGAAAACCTCGGAAACAATGTGGGTGCCCAAGGAGCTTCACGAATTCCAGACTAAAGCATTGTGATTCCTGTCGCAACAGTCGCCGTGAGACTCAGTCTGCTGCCATCCCCCGGTGTAGAGGTGCTCTGCCTGCCATACTGAGCTACAACAATATGAACTTCTCAACAAATGCTTCGACTGTTGATTTGAAACCAGTGAAGCTATTCAAGATGCCTAATTTACAATGTATATTATAGATGTATCGACAGTCTATTTACCTATTTACTGAGTGCTGTGCACTCCAACGCGCCTTAACCCCGGCCAACAATGAACGCAGAGTGTAAATCCTGCCCAGATGCTGGCTGATCACTTGTGAAAGTAGACTCTCGCACCCAGACTACTGCTGCTTCTTGGTTTCGTGGCTCTTGGCCTTTGTGATGAGGCTCAAACCAATCTCGGCAGACTCCTTCCAACCTCTCTGTCTCATCCAGAAGCGCTCGGTTGGATCAGTCCCCTGCTTGGACCAGTTCCGAGCCTCCTCTTCCAAGGACTCGCGAGTGATCTCAGAAGGCGGGACGGAAGATACGACACCCTTGACATCGTCGGCATCGTCGTCGCTCTCCGTACTGAGCACAGAGTCGAGGTATCTCTTCCGCATCATGAAGCGCTCTGCGCGTTCACGTCGTGTGTTCGGAGGCTCCAGCTTAGCCAGCGCACTCCGCACGGCGTAGCGCGCGATCAGGTAGAGATGCTCCGAGAAGAAGATAGTCAGCAACAACGCCCAGCACCGAATTGCCGTTGGCTCGCCGTTAGGGCCCTCATGGCCGTTACTGAACATATAGACAAGGGCTGCGCTGGTGATGCTTCCCACCCAGGACAGGAATCCTAGGCTGTCCAGCCATGGTCCAATGGTATCCGCACGCTGAGGCCAGGGCCTCTTGCACTCGACGCAGATCTTGAAGAAATCAGAGCGCAGCTCGACCCAGTTGTTGATTAAAAAGGAGACGGGAACAAGTGGCCACACGGGTGAGAACAGAGCCAGATATCCGAACTGGATACACATCTCCCGCAGATCGTCGGTGACATCATAGTCCTCCAGATCAGCTTCATTGCGAACGCGAGTGAGGAATTTGGCCTCATCTTCGTCGTCGCCGAGGGAGACGATCTTTTTCTCCCCCGCACCGTTCCCTGCCTCTGCCTTTGCATGTTGTTTCTTGGTATATTCCTTATATTGGCGGAATACACGCTGCCTGATAAATGGAACGATGGTTTCAAGCGCGAAACCGACAATCTGGGCAGTAACGGTGAAGTAGATGACCTGCTTCCGCAGCCGATCCGGATCAATGGTGAATTCAGTTCGTGCCTGGGTTGCTTGCTCTTTGGACACGAACGGCCGAACAGTAAGATGGAATACATCGAGATGAGGCACGATCCGGCTGGCGAATGGTACATAGACGAAAGCCGTCAAGACGATAGGGAGGTATGAGGTGATGAAGTTGACAACAAAGATCTTTTGAGTCAATGCCACCTTGTAGGCATCCTGAGTCTCGTAGTTCTCATAGTCATTCAATTTGGTCGCAACAGTCAGCAGGACCGCACTCATTGTCGGTACAAGCGCAGATACCAAGATGGTAGGAATGAACACCTGAATCCTTAGCTATAAGGCTGAGAAATGTTTGAGGTGGTACTTACCAGGTACTGCTTGAGTGGACCGTTGTAGACCTCGGAAATGAAAATCTCAATCGCAAAGCATGTAGCAATAATGACACCTAGGGCGACGGCTGCAAGCAATGCGAATGGAACTTGGAGGAGCTGCCGATACATCCGCTTTGTAGCTGGGAAAACTCCTCGAACCTCGCCGGTGCTTTCATCTCGAACTTCCTTTTCGGGCTTGAACTCTGCTCTCTTTTCCTGAACCGCAGAAACGCCCTTGGTCTGCCACCGACAACTGAGGTCCTCCTCCTGACGCTTCCAATACTCAATAAAGACGATGCACCAGAGACAATTGACCACGGTGTAGACGACAGAGAACGAGCCCAACAACAGCCAACACGCGAAGCCGAATGCGGCGGGGAACATCAAGAACCGAAAATACGACTGCAAGAAGGCAAAGTAAAAGCCAACCTGTAGCCGCCCGTTAGCTTAAAGGCATCTATGAACCAACGACAAGCTTACTTGTTCTCCAAACGTATTGCGAATCCGATCCAGGTCCTCAGTGGAGAGAAACGTCTTCTTGCTCCACTCCATCATGCACTGCTTGTTTGTCTCCTTGTCGTGCAGCGGAAAGATCGCATCGACATTCTTCCACTCTCCATGTCGGGGGGTGATGCCCGCACCACCCTCTGCTTTTGGAACCGTAATCAAGTGGTAGATAACACGAAGCCGCTCAGCTTCCGACTGCGGCTCCGCAGAGCTCGCCGGTTCGGGTTCGGCAGTCCGGACCCCATACAGCCAATCTCGAACACTTTGAAACCACAAAAGGTCAGCATACAACCTCTAGAAAGCATGATGCTACGTACCGAGACTTGTAGACCGCGCGTTTCAGCTGCTTCTTGCTAGCGGCCCGCACAAAGACGAAAAGGGACTTCTCGTCCCCCTGCCGAACTTCCGTCTGCAATCCTACCTCGGAGAGCTCAAGAAGGAGGGCCTCAAATCTCTTGACTGCTGGAGGAGCATCTAAAACAATCAGACCGCGGCCCACTTGCTGCCTAAGGGCGACCTACCGATATCCCCGTAATTGAAGCGGATGACGTAGTCCACATGGTGATTCTCCTGAACAGGCTTGGGAGTCGGATTGAAAGCCATGGCATAGAATCTTAGACAATTTTACGATAGCATGAGGGACAGTGAGGTTAAGTCTAGAATCTGCACGAATATTTTGGCTTGACGCAAAAGGGGAGTGAGCTGGAATTGTCGTCACCGCAAACTGCGCCCTGAACAGGTTGACTGGCAATGACGACATCCCCGACGCTGCTGGCCTAGGGTTAGGCCCTAACTCCCCCCTGAAAGGGGACATGGCGTTCAACACTCGATCGATCTCAGGACCTCTCTACAGCGGGAGAGATATACGAAATATCTCCACAGATTGTTCTTGGCTGTCATCAAGTGAACCGATGATGGAAGCGGAATAACGAAGACGCAAGATGTTGAATGATATACCACTGGCTCAAACGCAAGAATCCAAGGGTATCACGCTCGACTATCTAGGAAGGTACAATATACGAAGCACACAAGCTTTGGCAGGATAAACCTGCTATCAAGCTTTGCAAGTCGAATGGAGACATACCACAAGCCTCGACGCTCCTACAGTCCCTCCGCCAACTTATTCAGCGCCGGCCCCTCAACCATCATCTTCATCCACTCCTCCATAGCCTGAGCTCCAACCTGCTTATAAAACTTGATGCTCGGCTCATTCCACTTGAGGACACTCCACTCCAGACGGCGACCCTTCACCTCCAGTACCTTGGCAGCCAGGTACTTCAAAAGCTTGAATCCGTATCCGTGGCCTCGGGCGCTGGGCTGCACGTAGAGATCCTCGAGGTAGATCCCGGGAGCCGAACGCCATGTCGAGTAGTTGTAGAAGAACAGGGCCATGCCAACAGGTACCGGAGATGGGTTCTCTGCTGTGGCGGGAGGGATAACGAGGGCTGTGTAGACGGAGCCTCGCTTGGGGGTGTCATTGGGGAATGAGAGTGTGGCTAGGAGGGATTCTTCGGTGGCTTCGACCTCATGGAGGGCCTTTTCGTAGTCGGCTAGCTCCCGGATGAATTGGAGGATGTAAGGGACATCTGTGACCACGAACACGGTCAGTAAGGGGCCGTGGTACAGGCGTATAGCGTTCTCGCAACGATGGCCGACCTATGCGGAGAAACACTGAAGGGAATGCGGGGTGAAACTTGCCCTCGGGAGTTGCCAGTCTGATGGTAGCTTCCGCAGACATTGCGATAACAAGGGTTTCTAAATGAAGGTATCGTGTATGATTCGCTTCTTTGTACAGCTTT